CGCTGGACAGGCAGGCGGAGGCGCTGGCCCGGGCGGCCGGCCTGGTGAACGCGGGCCGCGTCGGGGAGCTGCGGGGCCACTACCTCCTCGCCTACCGGCCCTCGGGAGGCCCCGGCGAGGCGGGCCCGGAGGAGGCCCAGCGGCGGGCGGAAGCCGCCTTCGCCCGGCACGACGGCCTCCGGTGGCACGCCCGGCAGCGGCTCCTCAAGCGCTCCAAGCGCAGCCTCCACTTCAACGACCCCAAGTTCCCCCAGCAGTGGCACCTGGTGAGTGGGGCATGGCTCGTGGGGCGGGGAGAGGCCGGAGCAGGAGCAGGAGGGGCCCTTGCTGGCCGCCCCCCCCCGCAGGGGAGAGAGAGGGCCCGGCGCCAGCAAGAGCAAAGCCTCTGTGCCCAGTCCCCGGGCAGGCAGGCAGGCTGGCAGGCTCTCCCTGTGCCACCCCAACTGCGCCCTCCGCCCACCTTGTCTTTAGAGCAACCGCAAGAGTCCGGGGATGGACATCAACGTGACCGGCGTGTGGGAGAGAAACGTGACCGGCCAGGGGGTGACGGTGGTGGTGGTGGACGATGGCGTGGAGCACACGGTTAAGGACATCCAGCCCAACTACGTGAGTAGCCCCTGGCAGCGCTCTTGCGGGGGCTGGAGGCGGAGGGGGCTCAGGCACCGGGAGAGGGTGGGCTGCACCCAGAATGCAAAGGGAGCCCGGCTCGAGAGTGAGAAGCCCCCCCCCCCCAGGGTCCAGAACCCTGCTCTTCTGCAGAGTCCTTGCAGGTGGCCAACAGAAGCGGCCCGTCCAGCCCGGTCTGCACAGTGGGGCTCATCAGGCCAAGCGGGGAGGGCGCTGAAGGCAGGGGCTTTGTTGGGTTCCATGCTGGGAAGCGCTTCCCTCATGCCCTCCCCACTTGCAGGGTGGTAGGCAAGATCAGCCCCCAAGCCCTGGAGCGGACGGAAGATGCCATCCCCCAAAGGACCATGGTTGGGTTGAAAGAGCCCAGGGATGTCCTCTGTCAGGCAGCAGGAGCTTCTCTAAAGGCCGTGGCGGGCAGGGTGATGATCCCGCTCCCCCGGCAACGACAAGGAAGTCCTGCTGCTGCTCCTGCTCCGAAGGCAGGGGCTTTGTTGGGTTCCATGCCGGGAAGCGCTTCCCTCGTGCCCTCCCCACTCCCGGAAGGCTTTAGCGGAAGAAAACCCTCTTGCAGGGTGGTAGGCAAGACCAGCCCCCAAGCCCTGGAGCCGACGGAAGATGCCATCCCCCAAAGGGCCGTGTTTGGGTTGAAAGAGCCCCTCCCGGTGGCAGGACGTAGAGGCAAAGCCCAGGGACGTCCTCTGTTGGGCAGCAGGAGCGGCTCTAAAGGCTGTGGCAGGCAGGGTGATGATCCCACTCCCCGTAAACGGCAACGACAAGGAAGTCCTCCTGCTGCTGCTGCTGCTGCTGCTTTGCAGGCTGCCCTGGGGCGGAAGGGCCCTGTTCTGGCCTTGATTCTGGTCTGTGGGCGCCCAAGCCCTGCAGCAGTGACTGACAAGCCCTGGCAACAAACAGTGCCCGCCCCGGACCTCTGGAGGCCTCTCTTGGCCTTGCAAGCTGCCGCTGGGAAACCGTCTACATGGGAAGAGGCGTACCAGGAAGCCGGGTTGTTTCCAGGCTGGGGGTGGAGCCCCGGCAGGCTCTGCTTGGCAGCTCTCACGGTCCTGCTGGAACTTGCTTGTTGCAGCAGCCCCAGGGGACTCCGAGAAGTTGCTTCTGCTGCTCACCCAGCCCCTCCCTGAGCCAAGAAGCCCGGCCAGCCGACTGGCCGGGGTTGGGGAGCTTCTTCCAGTTTGCCACTGGTCCTCTTGTGTTCCCAGGCTGCAGCAATTTCAAATGTTGCTTCTGCTGTCCTTGTGTGTTTGCTCCCTAATGTGTTTGAGCTTTTTTGGGGGGTGGGGGGTGGCGTCCCACTTTCCTCCAGAGTGTTCAGCTCTGGGCCTGGTCTTTTCCAGAGCCCCGAAGGCAGCTACGACTTGAATTCCAATGACCCTGATCCCATGCCCCACCCCGATGAGGAGAACGGGAACCACCATGGGACCCGATGTGCCGGAGAAATCGCAGCCGTCTCCAACAACAGCTTCTGTGCCGTGGGAGTTGCCTACGGGAGCCGGATTGCAGGTACCCCGGAGAGAACCCCCCCCCTCCCCCTTGGCTGCTTGCGAAGGGGCTCCCAGCGTGAACACTGTTGGATACGCACAGCTCAGCAGACTGTTGGATACGCAGCAGCTCAGTACATGACGTCAAGAGGGGAAAAGGGTAGCCGCTGGGTTCCAGAGGGAGAGCCGCTTCGGCCTGTTGCAGCAGAAGGGGAGAGGTGTCTTGCGGTGGCTTAAGGACTAACCTGCATAAACTTTCATGGCCCACTTCTTCTCATGCAATTGTACCAAATTCAGGATCTGATGGAAAAGCATCAGCCCAAATAGCCCTGCTTAGCCCAGGCTTGCCAGGGCTGGGAAGCTAAGCAGAGTTGGCTCCGGTTGGTACTTGGATGGGAGGCCAGCGAGGAAGACACGGGTTGCTGTGCCGTGGAAGCCACCTCTGCCTGCCTCCTGCCCCGGTGGACGGGGTGGCCACGAGTCACTTGCCACTGGATGGCACATTGTTCATTCATTACAGGGGAGCAGATGAGGGAGGAGAAAGGAGAATTGCGTGCTGCACGTGCAAGTTTTAAGTGGTTTTTGCAGATGTATTTATTTATTTATTCATTCGTATTTATACCCCGCCCTCCCTGCAAGCAGGCTCAGGGCAGCTTACATATCTATAAATGACCATTCAGTTCACATAAAATCAATTTTAAATTTCAAATACAGTAAAACCATAGACTCATAAGGTGCTAGTGCTGGTCCATTGGGCACATAAGATGGCATGCTGGAAATACCTTGCAGCCGAACAGTTTGCCACTCAGTGGTCTTCCTGAGCCCAGTGGTGGAGGCCAGATGTTAGAACTGCGGGCCGGCTCGTTGGTAACAGTGGGGGCGGCTCCTAGTTGAAAGCCTGGTGGAAGAGCTCCATTTTGCAGGCCCTGCGGAACTGCACAAGATCCCGCAGGGCCCTGATCTCCTCCGGGAGCTCATTCCACCAGTACGGAGCCACCACTGAAAAAGCCCTGCCCTAGTGGTGGCGAGCCTGGCATCCTTGGGGCCTGGAATCCGGGTCAGTCGGTTCTGGGACCCCAACCTCAGTGCTCTCTGTGGAAAGGCGGTCCCTCCGGTATGTCGGACCCTGGCCATTTAGGGCTTTAAAGGTAATTCAGTATGCTATTGGCAGCCAGTGCAGCTTCTTCAGCACAGGCTGGATGTGCTCCCATTTGGGAAGACCCATCAAAAGCCTGGCCACGGCATTCTGCACTAGCTGCAGCCTCCGAATTTGCAACAAGGGCAGCCCCATTTACGCTTGCCACGCTTTGCATTGCGTGATTGCCAAAACAAAAACATTCAGGACAGGAAAGTCTCTGGCATCCAGGGGACCTGAGGGGGTCGGGATGCAGTGGATGGACTCCGACCGGAGTTCTCTTCCCTGGAGCCTTAACACCGTTCTGCAGACTCTGTTTTCCCTTGGAACAGACACCCGACTCCTGTGCAGAGCGTCCCCTCACCTTTCAGTCCAAAACAGGCCTCGTTCTCTCCTGTCTTGCGTCCTTGCTTGGGGCTGCTCCGCCTTAGGGAGTCGCCTCCTGTCCTTATTTCTCCTTGACCCATGCCTGGTGAGCTTGTGTGCCCAGCCACTGGGCATTTTTATTATTCAGTGCATTTATAGCATCCTTACAGGGTCAGGCAGGGACTGGATTGGCTACCCATTACGTATGTCATGGCTGTGCTGTCATTTTAGGCAGGAGGGCAAAAAAGGGGGGCTCCAGGGGCCATAAGATGCAGAAAGTTCAGTGTGAAATGTAAAAGGGAAAATCTCATTAAAGATGGAAGGGACAATTTCTGGGGTAGACTGGAAGTTCAGATAATTACATTTCACACTGGATGTATTGCATTTTACAGCTTCTGAACTCTGCTGTTTTCCTCCAAACTTTATCCATGAAAGCTCTACCTAGTCAGGAGCTGCTGCCTTGCCACTGGCCACAGAATAGTCTAGGCCAGGATGCTGCCCCTTTGCTCAGTGTTGGTTGGCGGGTTGTACCTGAGAACCACTGCCACGTTCTTGCCTGTGTGGTCCCCTGTGGAGTGTGGCGGAAGCAGCCATTGTGCCACGACCGTGAGGGTGCACGCAGGTTTCCTGTGGCCTTGCAGGACCTTGGCACGTGCTAGAAGCAGAGCGGGACCTTTTTTGACGGCGCATCGGGCATGCTGCCAAATGGTCATCTCCTTCCTTGACACAGGAGCCAGTTCGCCTTGCAGAGGTACAGCGCTTCTGGAATTCCCAGAGCAGCCGTCTGTCAGTGGGCTCCGTGCCTGCCACTGGCCACAGAATAGTCTAGGTCAGGAGTTTTGGGGTGTGTCCGCCCCGTCCCACTTCTTTGAGGCTGCTAGGCTGCAGTTGCCACTTTGCACAGCAGAGGGCGCCTTCTGCCCATAGGGAGCGGTGCGGCTTCGGTCCTTGGGGTGCCTTTTCAGCTCGGGAATAATGCAAGGCGGTTCGCTGCGGGTAGCTCTGCTCCTGTGCTGTTGTGATACAGGTGAAGGAAGGATCCGTGCTTCATGGGAACAGTGTTCCCTCTAAGCTGAGTTAGTGTGAGCTAGCTCACAGCTTTCTAGCTTCTGGCTCACATATTTTTGCCTTAGCTCAGGAAGGAGGACTCCAGAGCAAACTAATTCACGCAGTAGCTCAATCGCTCGCTCACAACCTTAACCCCAGCAGTTCACAAAGTAGAATTTTTGCTCACAGGACTGCACAGCCTAGAGGGAGCACTGCTTGGGAGCTGCACAAAGTGTTCACGACAGAGGCTGCCCCTCCTGCGCGTGAGAGAAGAGGCAGGCTGCCGGGATGGCCTGGGGGCCCTCCTGCCCCAGCTAAGGGGAGGCTTGGGGGGGGGATGCTGCTGCTGCTGCTACTCCTGCCAGGGACCGGCTGCCGGCGAGGGTCCCGTGCCTGCCGAAGCCCTTGCTGGCTCGCTGCCTGCCTCAGCCGCCCTGGCCAAGTGGCGGCTCCTTGAGTCATTGTCAGAAAGGGTGATTGCGGGTGGGGGGGGGGGCTCTGTCTGGCTAGTTTTGCTGCAGAAACTCTCCCAGAGGGGGGGAGGCCTGGAATTACAAAAAGAGCCAGCCACCCAATGGAAGAGAGTCAGTGTCTCCTGGCGATTATAGATTAATTTCTTGGAACATAAGAATTGTGCTGGATCGGACTCTCCTGCGCAGCATCCTGTTTTCCACGGAGGCTGCCCAAAGCCCCCCCCCCCCGGCCTGTTTTTCCCCACTCAGCAGAGCCGCTCATTGGCTAACAGGTCCTTGAGGCATCTTTGGGGGTCCTTCGGGCAGGAGTGTGGCGGAGGAGCAGCCTCCGGCCAGTGGGGGGGGAGGGGAGGCTCAGGCGGGGCCATTCCAGGCTGAGCCTCGCAGGAACACCTGCCCTGCATCTGTGTGGCTGAGGGCAGCCAGCCCCTCCCCTCCGCAAGATTTCATTTGTTTTATTTATTTGAACCATTTTCATGCTGCCTTTCCGCCCAGTCAGGGCCCCCCAGGGCAGCGAACATAAAAAAACAGACAGTTAAAAACAGCCTTTAACCATTATAAAATAATGCAGGAGAAACGCATAAACAGACAATACCGGAACCAGGGAGGAGGACCACGAATGGCTCTGCCAGATGTCATGGGCCAAAGACACCAATAGAGGGAGACAGACAGACAGATCTCCCCGGGGGGGGGGATTCCGGGGTCTCGGTGCGCAGTGGAGAAGGCCCTTCCTGGGGTTCAAGCCTCAGCTGTCGGGGGAGGGGGCTGAGTGAAGCGGGGCCTCCGAGGATGACCGGAGTGAGCCGGTGGGTCCCGGGGGGAGAAGGCAGTCCTTAAGGGACCTGGGTCCCAGGCCGAGACCGTGGAGTCTGGGAAGCCCCTGCCAGCCCCACTTTCCCTCTGACCCCCCGCAGTGCTTCGCATGTACTGAGAGCTCTCCGGCCCCTGTGGGTTTGGGTCTCACAAGCCAGCGAGGCAGGCCGCTCCCCTCCCCTCCGCGGAGCAGGCAGAGAGGAGGGAAGAGCGCTTGCCGAAAGCAGCTCCTTTTGCGTCGGGCTGCCTCGGGACACGCCCAGCTGGGTGAGGGGGGGGGGCCTTGGCTTGTGTGTGTGCCCGGCTTTGGGGGGCCCTCCAAACCCCTCCGTGTCATTGGCCGTGCAGGGATCCGGGTTCTGGATGGGCCACTGACGGACAGCATGGAGGCGATCGCTTTCAACAAGCACTATCAGATCAACGACATCTACAGCTGCAGGTCAGTGCCTGGGCGCTGCGGGGGGGACAAGCCCTGGCCCAGAAGTCAGCGTGGCAGGGTGACTTCCTGACCGCCTGTCAGTCTCGCTGGGCTTGGGGTCACCACAGCACAGGCACCGAGCTTGTCATCCTTACATGGCCATAAGTCCCCAGGGGCTGGTGTGTCCGGACCCTCCCTCTCAGCCCCTCGGAGCTCTGGAACACATTTGCCCACGTGTGCTCCTAAGCACTGCTTTGGGGTGTCTCCCTGCACAGCTGGGGTCCAGATGACGATGGCAAAACCGTGGATGGGCCTCACCAGCTGGGAAAGGTAGGGAGGAGTCCGGTTGTTTTGCTGTGGCTTCACGTCCTTCTGGGAGGGCAGAATGGCAGCGGTGCAGCTTGGACGTGTGGCCTCCTGGGGCAGGGTTGCTGCCATTCCTGAGGTTGCCCGTGCGAATGTTCCAAACCCACCCAGCTGGTCCGGTGCAAGGCGAGGGGAGAGCGGCTTTGAGCCCCAGCGCCCCTCAGCAGCAGGGTGCCCTGGCTGCTCTGTGTGTGCATCTGTGGTGGGGAGCGCCTGTCCCATTCCCCGGCACGAGGAAGCCCTCCTCCTCCTCCTCAGGAAGCCGCTTGTCTGTCCTCTGCTGCAGGCTGCCTTGCAGCATGGCGTGATTGCTGGCCGGCGGGGGTTTGGCAGCATTTTTGTGGTGGCCAGTGGCAATGGAGGGCAGCACAACGACAACTGCAACTACGACGGCTACGCCAACTCCATCTACACCGTCACCATTGGTAAGCCCGTAGGGGCACCTGGGGGCACCCCGTGTATTTGCTGAGGTGGAAGGTTTCTGCATGTGTGTGTATGAGAGAGCGGAAATTGTGCTCCTAGACGGGATCCAGAAGCCCTCCTGCAGGGCAGGCCTCAGCGGTGCAGCTTTCCAGCTCTTCAGTTTGACTCTCCTGCCGTCACCCTGTGGCACTGAGACCGCTTGAGAGCGGGCAGGCGGGGCTTCTCTGCCCAGTAGCCAGCCACCCATGCCAGGCCAGCCTGCTTCCATCTCTCCAGGGCTCCTTGCCTCAGTCTGCAGTGACTGAGTCTGTGGCCCAAAGTGCAGTTTTGAGAGGCAGTGTTGTGTGACACAGAGTGTTGAGCTGGGTGGGCCACTGGTCTGGTCCAACACGGCGTCTCTCATGTTCTGACACGCTTAAACAAGGCCTTGCCTGTGGCTTTCCCTGTGAGATTTGACTTGCTGCTGTTGGAAGCAGGATGTGGGTCGGATCCCACTGCACGGCTCTTACAACCGATGAGTCCACGGGGAGGAGGGAGAGGTCTATCAGTGGCTACCGGCCACGACTAAAGCAGAATTTCCATGTTCAGAGGTGGTCAGCCCCTGAATCCCAGAGCCAGGAGGCAACATCGGGGGAAGGCCTCGGCCTCTATGCCCTGTTGTTGGCCCTCCAGAGGAACCGGTTGGCCGCTATTTGAGACAGGAGGCTGGACTAGAGGGACCCTCCCTGGTCTGGCCCAGCAGGGCTCTTCTTACAAATTCTTAACATTAGAGGAAGGCCTTGGCTTCTAGCCCTGCTGCTGGTAGGCCACTGCTCTGATCCAGCAGGGTTCTTAGATGGTCTTATATAGACCGTGAACATGGCAGGTCTTAGACAGATTGTTCTTGCTGCAAGTATTGGTACTCATTTGTTTTTGCCTTGACTGAAACATGCTTCTGTTTCAACAATGCGCTTGGGCTTATTCAAGTGGTCCAAATTCTGGCCGCCCAGAAGAGCGGAAGCTGATGTGCCAGAGCCTCCTGGGGCCACGGCTCCCACTGTCTCAGTGCAGGATACAAAGGCCAGGCAGGAGACAGTGGGACAGATCCCCCAAGATGCCACGTGCTGATCACATCCCGTGGACTCTCCCCAAAATAAGCAACTCCACTTTACTAGCGGCACTTCTGAAAGGTGGAGTTGACGTTCTGTTGGAAAGGGGGCTTGCCACCTAACCTGGGCCACAAAAAACGGGGAGGGGGGAGCCCCCTCCCTAGGACTGGACTCATGGGCTGGGGTTTGTGTGCCTGTTCTCCGTGCTGCCAAGCCCCCCCCCCTCTCTCTCCTCCCCAGGCGCAGTGGACGAGATGGGGTACATGCCCTTCTACGCGGAGGAGTGCGCCTCAATGCTGGCCGTGACCTTCAGCGGGGGGGACAAGCTGATGAGGAGCATCGTGAGTTGGGCCTCCCTCGGAAGTGGGGAGGGGCAGTCGGGGGGCACTCACGTGCCGTTCCAGACCCCTGGCTTCCCTAGCCTTCCGGTGGGGTTTCTGCTCATCCAGCAGGCTGTGGTGATGCTTTGGCTGCATCACAACCCTCCCTGCTTACATTCTGACTTGGCCTTTGATCTTGTTGGAAGAGCGTCAGGAGAGCCCTGTGGGATCAGACCAGGGAGGGTCCATCCAGTCCAGCCTCCCTTCTCATGCAGTGGCCAACCAGTTCCTCTGGAGGGCCAACAACAGAGGCCTTCCTCTGATGTTGCCTCCCGGAAGTTTGGTGCCTCCGAATGTGGAGGTTCCCCTCAGCCACCATGGCTAGTAGCCACTGATGGACTTATTCTCCATGAATCTATCTCATTCCCCTTTAATGCTGTTTATTCCTGTGGCCATCACTACATCCTCTGGTAGCGAATTCCGGTGAAGTCTCGGTTGGGGAGGAAGGGCTTGGCAGTCCACAGAAGCCTGCACACGAGTTTCCTCTCCCTGCCCCTGTGACTCCCCCCCCCCGCGTGAGGAGACCCCGGCAGATCCCCTTCTGAAGGACTGGTTCCCCCCAACCTGAAACGGCCTCCTGACATTTCTGTTTACTTCCCCCCTCCGTCTCCATGTGCTTCCAAGGCTGTCCTGGGGGGGGGGGGGGGGCTGCCTGGTGGAAGGGGCGTTGCCCTTTTTTACAAGCCAGGCAACATGAGCGCAGGGTCCAAAGTCCACCCAGTCCAGGGGCCACGAGGAAAGTGCCAGCAGGGCCAGACTTTGATCGGGATTCCAGAGGGCAGCCGTGCTGGAGGGCGGGGTGTGTGTGTGCTCGCCTCGCCTCCAGGAGCGCCGTCGTATCTGACCAAGGGAGCTGGGGCTCTCAAAAGCTCAGCGCCCCCCCCCCGAAAAAACCCTGGCTCTCTTCAGTGGCAAGGGGGGTCCTTTGGGCCCCCCCTCTTGAGGCCATGAACACCCACGGCCTCCGCTTCTCTACCCTGGAGGAGGAGGAGCAGCCCCCCCAGTGTGTCTTCTTTTTTCTTTCTTTTTTGCCCAGTCCCACCGATGGCCAGAGAATCCCTTCCTCCCCAGAGCAGGAAATACCCCAACGCAAGAGATGTGTCTTCCAGGCAGACACGGCTGCAGAGTTTTTATCAGACACTTAAAAGTGAAAGGGGGGATCAGGGTCCAGGGTCTCTTCATCGCCTGGCTCAGCAGGCGGGTGGCATATTTCAAAGAGGGAGGGAGGGGGCGTGGGGGGTCTGGGAGTCCCGGCCCTCTATCCCACGTGGCCCAGCCCTGCCTCAGAGAGGAGGGGGGTGCCCCATGGCCCTGGAGGAGGCAAAGAAGTCCCATTTCCCAGACTGTTCAGAACCACAGGTTCTGTGGTCCTGGTAGCAGCAGCAGGAGGTCCTTGGGGGGGGTCTCCCCCCTCAACGAACAGGGCGCCAGAGGCTGGCAGACTCCTGCTCCCGGGTTGTGCTCCAGGCAGTCCGGCCCGCCTCGTTCCTGCACCTGCGCAGGAGAGGAATGGAGCAGGCAGGGCCCGGAGCGCAAGGGGGAGTCCAGGCGGCTTGTTCTTGTCCTCAAGGGAGAGGGGCCTGCTGCTTTCCCGGCCCCATTCCCCAAAGCAGAGTTCACCGCCACCGCCCCCCCCCCCAAGGCTTGCCTCTGAGTGCAGCAGCAGCTGTCCCAGTTCTGCCCGAGGAGAGGGCAGGGAGGGCAGAGTGGCTCAGCCGCTGGGCCGTGGGCTGTGAGAAGGAAGCGGCCCTGCGCAGCCCACCCGCCTCGAGGGCCTGCCGTGTGTGACGCAGGGGGTGGGGCGCTACAGCCATCTCTTTGCCGCCCAGGCAGGTGCCCGCGGGTCCTCCAGCCCCCCGGCTCCCCTGAACTAGTAGCCCTGCTTGTGCCTGACTTCGTGTGAAGCTCCTGTCCCTCAGGGGCCGCCCCGCTCGCCAATCTCTCCTGCTCCGGGTCGTCTTAGGTGGGGTGGGGTGGGGAAGAGGCTCTGTGGGATCTGGCCTTCCTTGGCAGGTCCGCCCCCGGCTCCAAGAAGGGGGGCTGTGTGGCTTCAGCATGCCCAGAGAGTTGGGATGAGTTCTGGCCCGGGGGGGGGAGGCTGGAGCCGAGGCCTTGTTGCCCCCGCGTTGAGTCCGCGTTGCCCCGGCTGACCAGGGCTTCTCCCCTTTGCAGGCAACGACCGACTGGGACTTGCAGCGGGGCACGACGGGGTGCACCGAGGGCCACACGGGCACCTCCGCCGCAGCCCCTCTGGCGGCTGGCATGATCGCCCTCATGCTGCAGGTGCGCCCCTGCCTCACCTGGCGGGACGTCCAGCACATCATCGTCTTCACGGCCACCAAGGTGAGCCCCGCAGCCCCCCTCTTCCTCCACCACTCCGACTTAGGGGAACCCGGGCCTGAGCGGGGGCTGCGGACTGACGGTTCTCTCTGCCGGCCTGCAGCAGTGATGCCCCCTCCCCCCCCTCCCTCCCTCCTTTGCAGTACGAGGACCATCGTGCCCAGTGGGACACCAACCAGGCCGGCCTGAGCCACAGCCACCAGCACGGCTTTGGCCTGCTCAACGCTTGGAGGCTGGTGAATGCTGCCAAGGTAGGGCTCAGCCCCCCCCCCCTCGGGCTTATCCAGGCCAGCCAGAGCCCCCCCCTCCCCCGGGGTGGGGTCCCCTGGGGGTGCCAGAGGAGAGCATGGCAGCCTCCTCTCTGAGGGGAAGGGAAGGTCTCCGGGGGGGGGGGGACTCGGGATCTTGCCCCCCCCCCTTCAGCCTTTCTGACCTTGGGAAGGAGCAGCAGTTAGCTGGCTCCAAATAATTCAAGGGGACAGATCCACACACAGAGAGTTTTCCTTGTCTGAGGTTTCTCTCCCACCCCCTAGCCCCGCTCCCCAGCGGCTGCTGTTGAGGGACGTATTTGGGTGCCCCTCACCCCGAGGCGGGATTGGGACCAGGCCTGTGGTCTGGAGGGCCGCCACCGCCCTTGCCCAGCTGCTTCTCGGGGGCCCGGCTGGCGTCAGAGTCCAGGAGGAAGGCCGGAGGGTGCTGGGTGTGGCCAGGAGTTCAGGGCTGAGTGCTTGGGGGGGGAGGCTTAAAATGGGGAGGCTGCCGGCAGTGTGACCTCTTCTTCCTCCCCGGCAGATCTGGGACTCCGTCCCCTACTTGGCCTCCTACGTCAGCCCCCTCTTGAAGGAGAGCAAGGCCATCCCCTTGGAGCCCCAGCGGCTGGGAGTCACCTGGAACGGTAGGGGCAGCTTCCGGGGGCGGGGGGGGCTGTTCCTCACAGTGGGCCTCGGTTCGAAAGCTAAATAGGCTGAGCTGTCGTGAGCTCCTGTGGGGACCCCTGGAGTTCACCTAGGCCGGGTTCCATCCTGTGGAGGGGCTGGGGCTCCCCGGGAGAGAATGGCCTCCCACAGGGACTACGGTTCCCAGAGTTCCTTGGGGCCCCAGCGGCCATGAGAGGGGGGTGGGGAAGAGCAGGGGAACAACAGCAGGTTGGCCACTAGTGGAGGTGAGGCTGGGGGAGCAAGGGGGGGGCCAAGAGCCAGGCGAGGCTCGGATTGCAGGGAAGGGGGGCTGTGCCAAGAAGCCGTGTTAGTTAGCGTGTGCCCGGGGTGGCAGTGGAGAAAGGGGGCTAGAGCTTTGGTGCCAGCTCTCCCCTCCCCAGCCATTCCCCACGCTGTCCTGTCCAGGAGGAGGAGGAGGACGGGACAGAACGGCGGCTCCCTCCCTCAGGCCCCGCCAGGACCGAGGCCCGCCGGGATGGGTGGCAGCCGCCCAGACCGGCAGCTCCTTCTGCCCATTTTAGGCAATGCTGCTGCTCCTGTCTTGGCCACACAAAGAAGGCCGCCGCCGCCCCGCCCCCGCTCCCCTCCCCTCCTCCCCTCCTCCCCTGGCAGCCTCTGGGCTTCGAGGCTGTTTGGGTCTGTCTGTCTTTGTTGTGCTCCAGAGGACTTTTGATGACCCCCCCCCCCTTTGCAGTTCTGCTGGGCCCACCGAGACCCTGTGTGTGTGGGGGGGGATCTGAGCCTTCGACTTCTCTGCCCCCCCTTCTGCCTGCGCAGCCCTAGAGGGAGCGGGGGGAGGGCCGAGGCCCTTTGGAGCCGGGGGACCCAACCTGGGCAGGAGGAGAGGCTGAGGGAGCCGGGGGAGGGGTGTCCGGCAGGGAGTGCCCCCCCCTTCCAGCAGTGCAGGGCCACCACCCCCTAGGGGGGGGTGGCAGGGCCCGCCAGGTGTGTTGCAAGAAGCGGTGTCACCCTGGCACGTGTGCGGTGGCGGGGGGGTCCTTCTCCCTCCCCCTCCCCCTCCTCTCCCCCCCCCCCTCCTCTCCCCCCCTCCTCTCCCCCTGTTCCCAGCCCTTGGAAGAGCCATAAAATTCCCAGGGACTTGGAAGGAAGTTCAGGCCCTCTCTGATGTTTCCCCTAAAAGGAGTTCTTGTGAGCAAACTGGGCAAGCACAGGCAAGATGGTGGCTGGGAAATGCCAGAGACGCTGCCGGATGCCGGAGAGGCAGGCCAGGCCGGGGCCAGGAGCCGCCTCAGGAGAGGGGGGGCGGGGATTAACCCTTTCACGGGGGCTGGGGGATAAGAACATAAGAACATAAGAGACGCCAATGTTGGATCAGGCCAAAGGCCCATCCAGTCCAACACTCTGTGTCACACAGTGGCCAGAAATACCAGTGCCATCAGGAGGTCCAGCAGTGGGGCCAGGACATTAGAAGCCCTCCCACTGTTGACCCCCCCCCCAAGCACCAAGAAGACAGAGCATCACTTGCCCCAGAGCCCCTAGCTATACCTTGTGGCTAATAGCCACTGATGGACCTCTGCTCCATATGCTTATCTAATTCCCTTTTGAAGCCGTCCATGCTTGTAGCCGCCACCACTTCCTGTGGCAGTGAATTCCATGTGTTAATCACTCTTTGGGTGAAGAAGTACTTCCTTTTATCCGTTCTAACCCGACCGCTCTGCAGTTTCATGGAGTGCCCACGAGTTCTTGTATTGTGAGAAAGGGAGAAAAGTACCTCTTTCTTTACCTGCTCTTTCCCATGCATAATCTTATAAACCTCGATCATGTCACCCCTTAGTCGTCTTTTCTCCAAGCTAAAGAGCCCTAAGCGCTTTAACCTTTCCTCATAGGGAAAGTGTTCCAACCCTTTTATCATTCGAGTTGCCCTTTTCTGCACTTTTTCCAAAGCTATAATATCCTTTTTAAGGTGTGGTGACCAGAATTGCACACAGTATTCCAAATGAGGTCTTACCATTGATTTATATAGGGGCATTATTATATTGGCTGATCTGTTTTCAATACCCTTCCTAATAATCCCCAGCATAGCATTGGCCTTCTTTATTGCAGTCACACACTGTCTCGACATTTTCAGTGAGTTATCCACTACAACTCCAAGATCTCTCTCTTGCTCAGTCTCTGCCAGTTCAGACCCCATCAATGTGTATTTATATTTAGGATTTTTGGCTCCAATGTGCATCACCTTGCACTTGGCCACATTGAACCCCATTTGCCATGTTGACGCCCACTCGCTCATCCTTGACAGATCCCCTGCGGGGATGATGCCTGGCCAGAAGGGGATGATGCCTGGCCAGAAGGGGATGATGCCTGGCCAGAAAGCCGGGGGGGGGGCTAGCAGGAGGGGGTTCCCGGGGGACGGCAGGCAGCTTGCTGATGGCACCAGGTGCCCCTCGGCCCTTTTCACCCCCCTCCGAGGCAGAAGGGAGTGGTGGGTTCCTGCAAGGGGGCTTGGGGAAAGGAAGAGAAGAGAAGGAGGGCTTGCCTCAGAGCAGACCCCAGCTGGAGCGGCCTTGCCAGCCAGGAGGGTCCCTGCGCAGAGGCAAGCCGTGTGCTGGGGTCGCCCGGGCAGGTCACGGGATGCCCTGTGGTCACGCCCGGGCACCCTGCGGCTACTCTGTCCTCCTGTGCTTCCTCCCCAGTCACGGAAGCCGACCTGGAGCTGTCAGGGATGAGGACCCTGGAGCACGTGGCCGTGACGGTCAGCATCACCCATCCTCGCCGGGGCAACCTGGAGATCCGCCTCCTCTGCCCCAGCGGCATGGAGTCTCTGATCGGGACCGCGCGGAGCATGGACTCGTGAGTGCGGGGCGGGGGCGGGGGCGGGAGAGCCACTG